CGTTCCCACTCTGCCTGCGACTCTTATCTTTAACAACACAGCTAAGGTCAGCGAGACCGGCTCTCTCCTATGTCTATGCCTAGGTTCAAATTCAGCTACGAATGAGAGATCATCATGATACATCAACCTGGGCACCAGCTGAACTATGATACAGAAATCACGGGAGGAGTTGAAGGCAGAAGTAGAGACACATGGGATCACTCTAGTGTTACAAGCCCACCATCCCTTGGAAGGAGGGACTAGATACTCATTTTCACTTGAGAAGGTTACAGCTATGGTTTCATTACACAAAGCTTTATGGGTGGGGGGAACTGTACCTAAACATTTTTCTCTTCCAGTCACTTCGGTCAGGGTTAGTTTCCTATGGCTCTCCCAGCTACAGATCTCATGACGGGTTCTCTTGTTAAAACTGCCCAACAATCTTAATCTTTCATAATAAGGCAGCCCAGAAGAGAAACACAACTAACAGGATTTAGTAGTGTTAGGATTGGTGGTGTTTAAGACCTGAAAAGCCCCTTCAAGGAGGTTGAGAAGGCGTTGTCCTGTGCTAGGAAAAGGGGTAACTTGGCCAAGAGTGGAGACAGAGGCAGAATCTATAGGTGGGGCTAGGGTCGGCTCTGGGGCTGGGGCTGGGAGACGCGGTCGATCCCGCAGGACAGCGTTGGGTCCTACTGGGATAGCCGGGAGAGTCTCTACCTTAAGCCTGAGCATAAACAAGACTCTATTATCATAGCCACTCTGGTAGAGTCTTAGTCCCCACATAAGCCCTTTTTCTCAGTTTGTTGCTCTTTTTCCTGTATCTGTGAAGGAGATGTCAATAAGATTGCAGGTGGGATTAGTCATGCATTGGTCACAAGTGGCACTCCGTTGGATTTTTATGAGGCCTGGAGGAGGTCTCCCTGCGCTTCCTGTCAGCCAATGGCATGTCCCTGTCTGTTCACAACCCCAATTTTTACAGAAAAAATCTGTCTGCCCACCACACTGTGAGACCTTGGCATTGGTTGAGGGGGCCGGGCATACATAAGAGCAGGTACTTTGGATCTCTTTCATAGTCCTAGAGCCCCAATGCACTGTATAATCCCGAGTGCCACATCCGGGTACCCTAATTTTATCTTCGTACCAAGGGTCTTGTTTGAAGAGAGTGCATATATCTACAGTGAGGGTAGGCCACCAGGTTCCCCTAGGGTGTTGTCCTGTTAACTGGACTATTACTTGGCGGGAGGCTGGTGTAATGATTTGCCACGTCAGTAACCTGGGTTCATGGGGGTTAGGGTTCTGGTGGGTTGGAAGTAGCAGGAGGATCAGAATCACTAATAACATAGTTCTTCTTACACAAGCGAAGCTTAAGGGGGTTATCAGTCCAAGTTACTTGCCAATCCGAGTCCGACTGGGGCGCTTTTTTCAGATGTGAAGCGTGTACCCAGGAGGAGATGCCATCTACTTTCACAGCTGTGGGAGTGGTCAAGAGGACGATGAAGGGTCTTTTCCACCGAGGCTCAAGGTTTCCTGTTCGGTGTCGTCTTATGTAAATGGGGTCTCCCACCTGGAACTGAAGAGGCACCGACAGGTGTTCCGGCCGATAGGCTTCCTGGATAGTGACCCACACTTCTCTCTGCACATCTTCCAGAGCCCGTAACTTTTCAAGCAGAAACTTATTAGTTACACATTCAGGGGATGCGTGGAGGTGAGCCGACTCAAGCAGAGCCGGGGCTCCAAACATTATCTCAAAGGGTGTAAGCCCAAAGCGGCTGGGAGTGTTCCGGACTCGAAATAAAGTGAAGGGAAGGAGGACCAACCAATCACACAAACCAGTCTCTATGGATAATTTAGTCAAGGTCTCTTTTAGAGTTCTATTCATCCTTTCTACCTGTCCTGAGCTCTGGGGCCTGTATGCACAATGCAATTTCTAATCTGTCCCAAGGATCTTGGCCAATCTCTGACTTACCTGGGCAACGAAGGCAGGTCCATTATCGGAACCGATTACCTTGGGGATTCCGAACCTTGGAAATATTTGTTCAAGTATCTTTTTGGATACTGTCTGGGCTGTCTCGGTCTTGGTGGGGAAAGCCTCTGTCTATCTTGAAAAGGTATTTAAAAAAACTAAGAGGTACTTATGTCCATACTTAGCAGGCTTAATTTCAGTAAAGTCAACTTCCCAGTAAGCTCCCGGTCGATCTCCGCAAAGCCTTTTTCCGCATATCATTTGATGTTTATTCACATTTACTAATTGGCAAGGGACGCAATTCTTCACCACCTCGTCTGCCATTTTTTCTAAACCAATGATATGATAAGGGGAGTGTCGAACCAGGGCTTTTAGGTTCTTGGCCCCTAAATGTGTCAATTCATGTAATTGCCTCAAATATTCTCCTGCCTCTTTCTGGGGCAGAATATTTTTCTCATTTTCTGACTTATATGTTCCAAGGGGTGAAGATTTTTGGAACCCCAGTTTGTCCATCCGAGCGAGATCCTCGGGTGTATACTGGAAGCTCTTGATACATGTTGCTTCCGGGTGCACCTGGAGGGGTAAAATGTTCATTCCTGAGCTGCTTGTTTTGCGGCTTGGTCCGCCCTCCGGTTTCTTTGAGCTATTGGAGAGTCATCTTTCTGATGTCCAGGGCAATGTATTATCGCTACTTCTTTAGGCCTATGGATGGCTTCCAACAATTCTAAAATTTCTTGTTTGTTTTTAACACCTTTCCCAGCAGAAGTTAACAGCCCTCTCTGTCTATAAATAGCCCCGTGTATATGAGCGGTGGCAAAGGCGTATCGGCTGTCAGTGTAGACGTTAAGTCTCTTACCTTCTGCCATCCTTAGAGCCTGAGTCAGGGCGACGAGTTCTGCTCGCTGTGCAGAAGTGCCCGTTGGGAGTCCACTGGCCCACACGATCCGGCCATCATTTACTACTACAGCTCCCGCCATCCTCTTACCTCCCATGATGTAACTGCTCCCATCCGTGTACCAAGTCAGGAGTCCTGGTCCTTCCAGGGGCTGATCTCGTAAGTCCCGGCGGGTCCCTGTCTCCTCAGCCAGGATTTCCTGGCAGGTATGGAGTACTTCTTTCCCTGGATTGGGGAGCAGAGTAGCTGGGTTTAGGATGGCGGGCGGGGCAAATTCTACACGATCGCGATTTAGGAGCAAGGTTTGGTAGTGAGTCATTCTGGCGTTCGACATCTATCTTTCGGGTGGTTGTCGAATTACGCTTTCCAGTGCATGTGGAGCAACTACAATGAGCCTTTGTCCCAGCGTTAGTTTGTCAGAATTTTTAACCAAAAGGGCCACGGCCGCCACTACTCTCAGACAGGCAGGCCATCCGCTACTCACTGGGTCCAATTTCTTTGACAAGTAGGCGACAGGTCTCTTCTAAGGTCCCCATTGTTGGGTCAACACTCCCTGAGCCACTCCACTCCGTTCATCTACAAAGAGGACAAATGGCTTAGTCACATCTGGCAATGCCAGAGCAGGTGCCGACAGGAGGGCTTTCTTAATATCATCAAAGGCCTGCTGTTGTTCAGGTCCCCAAACAAACGGGGCCCCCCCTTTGGTTAGGGGATACAGAGGGGCAGCTAAGGTGGCATATCCGGGTATCCACAGTCTACAAAACCCTGCCATCCCCAGAAACTCGCGAACCTGGCGCGGAGTAGTGGGAACCGGGATCTGCATCACAGTCTGCTTTCGGGCTTCAGTAAGCCACCTTTTCCCCTCTCTCAGGGAATATCCCAAATAAGTCACTTGTTGTTGGCAGATCTGTGCTTTTTTGGCAGATGCCCTATACCCCAATTTAGCAAGTTCAGTCAAAAGGGCTCCAGTGGCCTCTTGGCAGGCTTTCTGAGTAGGGGCTGCTATCAACAAGTCATCGACATATTGTAACAAAGTTACCTGTGGGTTGGAGGCTCGGTAAAAGGCCAAGTACTGATGTAAAGCCTCGTCGAAGAGGGTGGGTGAATTCTTGAATTCTTGTGGCAAGCGAGTCCAGGTCAATTGTCCAGTAGTTCCTGTGGAGGGGTCTTTCTATTCAAAAGCAAACAGCGGTTGGCTACTCTGGTGCAGGCACAAACAAAAGAAGGCGTCTTTTAAATCTAAGACTGTATACCAGGTGTTTTCCGGGGCCAGAGAGCTTAGCAGGTTATAAGGGTTCGGTACAGTGGGATGAATGTCCTGTATCTTCTTATTAACGTCTCTTAAATCTTGCACTGGTCGATAATCTCCTGTCCCCACTTTCTTTACAGGCAGCAAGGGAGTGTTCCATGGGGATTTACATTTTACTAATATCCCTTGCTCTATGAGCCTCTGGATATGGGGCCTAATTCTATCTCTGGCTTCTTTACTCATTGGATATTGTCTCACCGTTACTGGTAAGGCTGAGGCTTTCAATTCTATGACCACCGGGGGCTGGTTTACAGCAAGCCCCATACCCGCTGTCTCTGCCCAGGCCCCTGGAAAATGGTTAAGCCACCTCTGACTAACTCGGGAGGGTTCTGGTTTCTTAAAAAGGTGGTACTCGTCTTCTAATCTTATGGACAGAATACTTAGGCCCATAGGTTTTTTCTCTCGATCAGTCACTCGGGTATCTTCAGCCTGAAAGGATATTTGGGCCCCGACTTTGGTCAAGATGTCTCTTCTTAACAAGGGTGTGGGGCATTCTGGTATGACAAGGAATGAGTGGTTTACTTGTCGCACTCCTAAGTCCACTGTTCTTTGGGTAGTCCATGCATATTGTTTCTGGCCCGTGGCCCCGAACACCCAAGACTTTTTGCCAGAAAGAGGGCCTCTAGCTTGGGTCAGTACAGAATGCTGAGCACCGGTATCCACCAGAAACTCAACGGGTTGCCCCTCCACCTTCAGGGTTACCCTAGGCTCGGGGAGGGGCTCCGAGCCCCGTCTTCCCTAATCCTCATCTTCCAGCAGAGACAACACTTTCTTCGGAGGTCCCCGCGGTGGCTTCTTAGGGCATTCTTTCACCCAATGCCCCTTTTCTTTGCAGTACGCACATTGATCTTTCTCTAAAGGGGTCCGGTTGCCCAGGTCCCTGTCTTACTAGTTCTGCCACTAGGAGGTGGGCGTCCTCTGCCTTCTACTACTGCAGCCAAGATCCTTGTTAAATTCTTCTCATGCTTCCTGTCTCTCTTTTCTTCCTTACTTTCTCTTTCTTTCGCTTTCCTTAACTCTTTCTCTTTCTCCGTCTCCCTCTTGTGATACACTTTCTCAGCCTCTTTTACCAAATCTTTCAACGACAAATCTTGTAAGCCCTCTAATCTCTGAAGCTTTTTTCTAATGTCGGGTGCCGACTGTCCGATAAAAGCAAGGGCCACTGAAGCACTATGCTCCTCAGAAGTGGGATCAAAGGGAGTATACCGCCTGAAGGCTTCCATCAGGCGTTCTAAGAACACTGCGGGTGCTTCAGTGGCTCCCTGACTGACCTCTCTTACCTTGGCCAAATTGATGGGGTGTCTTGCGGCCCCACGGAGACCTGCCACCAGAGCCTGGCGATAGACGGTTAGTCGCTCCCTACCTTCTGGAGAATTAAAGTCCCAGTTGGATTTGGTCAACAGGAACCTCCTCTCTATGTCATGAGGGAGTTGCAATGGTCACCCGTCGGTTCCAGGCACATTCCTTCGCGCCTCCAGGAGGATCCTCTCTCTCTCTTCTGTGGTGAAGAGCACCTGCAAAAGCTGCTGACAGTCATCCCAAGTGGGCTGGTGAGAAAACATCAGGGACTCTATCAGACCAGTTAGTCTTTGTGGTTCCTCTGAAGAGGGCGGGTGGTTCGCTTTCCAATTATACAAATCGGCAGAGGAAAATGGCCAATATTGCAGAGGTTGGAAAGGCCGGTCCCCCTCTTCCCCGAGGATGGGAACTCCATAAGACCGGAGAGGAAAAATACCCGGTGGGTCCAAGGTGGCCCCTCGGCGGCGCCGAGTTCCCTGGGCAGGTCCCGAAGCCGGTCCCACTGCCTCAGCATTAGGGACTGAGGGTGCCAGGGGTGCTGGGGCTGGCGGTGCCGGGGGTGCCGGGGCTGGTGGTGCTGGGGCCAGGGGTGCCGTAGGGGCAGGAGGGTAAGGAGGGGGATCGTCAACTATAAGCAAATCTTGAGTGTCAGGGTGAACTTTAGTAGTTTCTTTTTCCTTGCTCTGAGGTTGGGTCTGGGCAGCTAAAACTCGAGGGCCCATTTTTTTTTTTGCACCCAGGGCTTTACCCAGGGCGGTGGGTTCTCCACCAACTCTTGCCAGACTACAATGTAGGGTTGCTGATCCGGGTGTCCTTGAGACGAATCCTGGAAGACAACAGCTTTTACTGCTAATAAAGTGGAGAGATCAAAAGTCTCCTCTGAAGGCCACCCAACATTGAAGGTGGGCCATTCGGAGATGCAGAAAGTCTGCCAAGGTCTTTTCTTAACTTCTACTGACAAATTATGTGCCCTAGTCCTTACTTCTGTCCAATGATCTAGCGTCAGGCTAAGTGGGGTCGTCACTGTCTGTCCCATTGCCAATACCACGATAATTAGGCACGTAAAAGACACAAAAAACAAAGACACACACACATTAGACACACAGCGGCCGCCTTTGGTTTTTCTCAGATTTTCAATCAAAAACCGAAAGGAATCGGAGGGTTGATATTCCTGGCGCCCGAAAATCAACCCTATCTCATCAGGTTCACTTTGCCGGAAAAACAGATGAGAGGCCACCAGGCGTCCCTGGCCCTCCAATCTCCCCGAGGAGTCCCCCAGGGTTGCAGCCTGCAGTACTCCATGTACGTCTACCGACTGCAGTCTCGACCCCTTTACGGGATCAGGACGACTGCCAGACAGAGGGTACCCTTTTCAGAATTTCGACTGGTCTCACTGGAAAACAGAAAACAGAACACAGACAACTCAAGGCGCCACTAATCTTACCTCTTCCTCTAAGAGCGGCCTTGGGAGTGAAGCGGGGTGAGCGCAGATCCCGGACGAGCCCCCAAATGTTGGATTCTCCCAGAGGAGGACGCCGCCCCAAATCACTCACGAAAGGCGTCTCTTGCTGCAACAAGCAAGAAGAATTTATTCAGGAACCAGCTAGCTGGGGTCCAAGTTAGCCCGACGCAGCGGGTCTCAACAAGGACCCCGAACACACATAGCCAGAAGTTTTTATAGCATTTTCAAAGGGGCAGCATTTTCCACAGCCACAATACAGTGTTTTTCCATAGACACATAAATTTTCGGCTGACGCCACATCCTGGGGGTCTGGTTAGATAGAATCACTTTCGGAATGTTTAGGGTGGTTCTAGCAAGATAAGCTTGGTGTGTATGATTAACTGATTTGAGGTTAGCTAACTAAATAAAGGTCACTACAATTAACACTGGCTGACTAACTTGTTTTTCAAGGTTCTAATAATTTTTTTTCTTCTAAGTTAGAGGGTGGTGTTTAAGCTTTTAAAATGGCTGTGCTTATGCTAACTTTTGATTCTTCAGATCCTACAAACTCTCAGAACAGTGCCTGGCACACGGGAAGCACTCAGCAGCCATTGGTTCTTGTCATTAATATTCCCACTTCACTCAGGGGCACCTTCCTTTTATTTTGGTTCTACTTGTTATCATTTTCTGAGTATTTCTCTAGGCATTTAATTTAACCATTTGTAGTAATATATTTTCTATATCAGTTAAAAAGTGATATTTTCTCACTTAAGTCCTTAGGTAGAAAGTCTTTCGTAAGGGCCAAGAAAGATGTATTGAGTTGCTGTCCATCTACCACAAATGGAAGAAAGTTTGTCAGAAAACCTGTGAACATCAGCCTTGTGTAGTAATTGTTAATTTTTTTTACCTCCAAGAGAGACAATTTTGTAAGGTTTTTCTTAGGGAAAAACCAACTTGTAGTCCCTGAACACACAGTAGCCAAGAGTGGAAGGAGAGAAGAAGGCCTGCACGGTCCGGCAGCCCAGGGAAGTGCGCCTGGGCCTTGGTGAGTTGTGCAGGGGAGCAGCAGCCACATTCAGTCAGCTGAGAGTGTGCTGCAACATCCCAGAGAGGATCGCCATGCCACCTGCTTGTCACAGCTTTCCAGCATTGACAGTGCAATTTCTGTGGAGTCCTTGCACTTACTTCATGTGCATGTTGATAAGAAACCCGTGGATAGTACTAAGTCTAACACATGGATTTCCCTACGGATGGTACATAATAATACAGTTTTCACCACAGACGGCTGACAGCTAGTGAATCATTTATAGATAAACCAATGGTTTATTTCTCTGGTTCTCTCATTGTTAACTCAACACCTAGTAAAGATTTACTGGACTAGGAATGATGATTTGCATAAACATGCAGTAATGAAATTTTTCTGTAAAAGGAATTCTGAAAACACCATTCAGAAAACATAAATTTCATGTTTAATTTTTAAGAAAAATGTGAGTTCACTCCAAATTATAAAAATAAAATTAGAGTATTCTTCCAAAACAAAATTTACTATTTATCAGCATGCATTCATTCAATCAAAGATAAACTGTGAGGAAGACAATGAGTTCCAGAGAGATTTAAAAACAAGGAGAGGGACAGAAGCAGAGGGACAGTGAGCAAAACAGGAAAAGGAGATACGGAGATACAGGGAAAATCTAAGACAGAAACCAAGAGACACAGGAATTAATTACAGGACTTGGATGTAACATGGTTAAGTCCCCTTTGCAAACTCTCTACTTTCAAAAAACGCCAACGGTGTATTTTCTTTCCTTAGCATCGTGCATTAAGCATTCACTTATTTTTCGTAACTTGTCATGCATACCCTGGGTGGGGGAAACATGATTTTAGTGGTATGGGGAAGTCAGAAATCTCATGCTTAGTTTAACTTTTATGCTTCGAAGCTTGTTTATTTTAGCATATCTTCCAATTTCTTGTTAAACAAAAGGGGAAGGGGCTACTTAATTCAGAAAATGACTGTTCTTCAGTTTGCCAGAAAGTAATCTTTAAACTGAATGAAGCCGGTTTCATGAGGCTTCTCCTGGCCTGCTGCGGAGTCTGCATTCGAGGCAGCTAAGAGGTTTGCTAATTAGATGTCTGCCTGCAGATGGGTCACTCGGATAAAATTTATCTCTGGTAGTAGCCCTTACTTTCGGAAAGACCCCAGTTTAGATTATTCTAGGTAGCTAAGGAAGAGGCAAAGGCTTCTCTTGAGCCCCCCGGAGTCTTGATTTGCCTTCAGCTCAAAACAGGTCAAACGCCAAAGGGGCACGTGTTTTATGTAGAGTCAGTGACTACATGCAGGGGTGGCAAAATGAGCAAAACGCAACCTTAATGTCAGGACCGGTACTCCGTGGGGAGGGGCTCCGAATGAAGGGCGGGGTTTGGAGCTTGGCCTCCTGGGGATGAAGTAAGGCGGGCAGCGACCCAACGCAGGGCTGCGGGCAAGCAAGGAGCCACGGCTACTCACCACGGCCACGAAGAGCAGTTCCCTGGCCACCGGGCCCGGGCCTAGCCAGCAGGCGAGCAGGAACGAGAGGCGTGGCTCTCATGGCGGTGGGAGGCGGGAGGTGCCCCTCGGTGCGGGGCCGCCGGTGGGGCAGGCTCTTAACCGAGGCCTGGCCAGGGAAGGAGGGCCTGGGAGAAGCCCGCCCAGGACTGGAAGAGCCTCCCGGCAGCCTTGGAGGGGCCTGGCGCGTGCCGGGCGGAGGTCCGGGGCTGGGGAGCGGAGACCAGGGGCTGTGGGTTCAGGTAGAGCGCTGGGGCCCAGAGTCTGGAGGTCCTTGGGGTTACAGAGCACTCGGCAGATGTGTTTTTCTCTTCATCTTTTCTCTATATGGGGTATTGAGACAGGCACCATGATGTAGTCCGAGTAGGGTGAGGGCCTACGGAGGGGGCAGGGCGGTGTATTTGCAGTCAGAGCAATGTAACTACATGCAAGGAAACTCCCTGCTAAAACTCTATGTTAAACATTGAGCTCTAGAATCTTTCTTCGGTGAGATCAGTTAAGGTTCCCCAGATAAAGAAGAGTAGCACATGTTTTATTATGCTAATCATTTGTAACCAAGTGTAAGATTCACTGTAGCATACTAAAAGGCCCAGGCCTCTGTGCTGTCTTTCCTCCTTCAGATCTGATGAGGTAATTCTGCAAACTGAGCAACTAACTTAGCATGCAGACCCAGCTGTAGACGACATAATAAAAGGCAGGAAAAATTCCATCTTAAAGATAGGATTGCATTTTAACACCCAGAAAGTTCAAGAGGCAAGATTCTTTAGCAAGTAGACAATATCTCAGCCCACCTTGGGGGCTGGGCAGGAAGCCTTTTGATGTGCTCCCGGACCAAGGTGCCGGTGTCCCAGAGAGAAATTAAGGCAGGAAATTCCTTACTTTAAGTTAATTTTTAATATTCAGGGACCACTTAACAAGTCCCCATCCCTAAGTTTTTTCATGTTCTCGAAAAATCCTCAACTGCCTATAAAACCCCTAGATAATGCACCATTACAGACTCTCTTGTCCCCTCCTGGCATGAGCTGGGAGCTCTGTCCTTTCACTGTATCTCTAAATAAAAGCCTGTACCTTGCTCTCCTACCTTGACTGTGAAACTCATTCTTCGGCTCCGCAAACAAGAACCCCGGCATCAGTATGACACAGCATTCACCTTGTGAGTTGACAAGGGGTCTACCCCAGCTTTGGAAACTTTAGCGCAGTGATTACTCATCTTCTCTGAGTCCAGAATCGCAGGGGAAGTGATAGGAAAATTTACAAGGACAGCAACCTAGCGGGTGGCTCCAGTCTGTCTGGCACCCCTCCCTCCTCAACATAAACAACACAAGGACAGTAATTAACAAGGTGGCTACCCTCCACCTCGCCCCTCTCCTCTACCCAAACTAAAATACACTCCCTTGGTTTCCCCGTGAAGGGTCCCCACCAGTAAGATGGCAAACTTCTGGCTTCTCTACGGGGTCCTCAGTTCCCGGTGGTGCCACCTGAAGCCCAATCACCTCTCGCCCCCCTCCCAATCCCAGCACCTAGCCAACAGCCACCAGCTCCATAGAAGTGACACCTCAATCAATTCATGCCCCTTCCTATATAACCCAGCACCTTTCCCTAATAAAGCGGAACTCTCCAGTGAATTGCTGCTATGTGTCGCTCCTTTCCTTTCATTGGTGCCGNGGAGCAGGAACGGGCAGTGAGCGCGGCGGCAGGGCCCTGGCGCCCCCTCGCGGCTTTGCCCTTCGGGCGCCCTCCCACGCTCTGGCCGACTCCAGCTTTGCTGGCGTGGCCGCGCATCGTGTTTCCGTAGAAACGCCGGGGCCCTGGCCGGCGCGGGGGCGCGCGGAGCAGCTGCTAGGACTCGAGGGGGAGCACGGAGTTCCAGTCGTTGCGCACTGGGAGACCAAGGCGACCTCGCGGTGGTATCAAAAGCTAAAATTACATCGGGTGTCGTTTTTGTTTCTCTCCCTGTTGCACTTGGGTATCCCTGGAGACTCCTTAGAAAGCATCTGGGGCTTGCAATTCTTTGGTCTGCAATCCCTGTTCTTATTCAAGTGTCCTGTTGACGTGGAGGTAAGGTGCGGGAATAGACGAAGTACCCCGTACTC